TTGATGATAAAATAATTTAAGTTGCATAATTTTTTAAAACAGTCATGGATGGCCAAGCCAGTTTTTAACTTTTAGAGTAATAATTATATTGTTGTTGCTGCTGATTCACAAAAATTTTGTTGTGACTGAATGTGAATGAGGTTTGCATTGTAATTGCCTCATTTTAATAAATTGTTATATTTACATACATGCAATACTGAAATTTACACTACAACTTTACTGGTTTCAATAGTATAGAAGACATTGCAAGTAAACTTTACTTTTTTAATAGTAACATGCATTAATTTTCAGTATAAAGTTTACATAATAATCACAGATGTTGTTCCTATTTAAATTAAACTTGAATAGTGAATAGATAAATCATTTAAGATAATGGATCATTCAGAATGTTAATCTCAAAGCCTTTTGAAATATTTAATAATAATAATAATAATTGACTTAGTAATTAATCAATTAATTAACTAATATCAAATAATATAATTATATTTTCCTGGTAAAAAAAATAATTAAGATAGTCTTATTATCTATTCTAACATGTATACAATTTTTTGTCTGAATGACTGTAATTATGAAGAGTTATTAAAATGATTTAACCACCTTCACACATATATATTATATAATAATAATCAATCGTAATTAATAATAATTAATTACAATCTGTAATAAATTAGTAATCTGCAAAGATCATTAAATAACTATTTACAGAAAAATTGCATAAGGAGGAAAAATTTTCTAATAGTGATGTGTTTAACACTGAAATTGGTGCTGTCTTTGAACTTTTTTTCTCCTAAATGCTACTATGCTATTAATTACTACAACAACAACTACTTCTACAATTGCTACTTTACTACTACAACAACTGCTACTACTACTACTGCTGCTACTACTATTACTACTACTAATACTACTGCTACTACTACTGCTGCTACTACTATCACTACTACTACTACAACTACTACTGCTGCTGCTGCTACTACTACTACTGCTGCTACTACTATTACAACTACTACAACTACTACTGCTGCTGCTGCTACTACTACTGCTGCTACTACTACTGCTACTACTACTGCTGCTACTACAACTACTGCTGCTGCTACTACTACTACAACTACTACAACTACTGCTGCTGCTACTACTACTACAATTACTGCTGCTGCTACTACTACTACAACTACTGCTACTGCTACAAATACCACAACTTTCAATGACAAAATTACTACAAGTGTCCATGTGATAAAATAATTGCTCTATTGAAAATAATTGTTCAAGTGATTATTGCTTAACATTTAGAAATATAATTTATGCACATGCATTTGCACACATACATACACACATATGTGTGTGAGTGTCTATGTGTGTGAATACACACACACATAACAAACTTACACATATATATACCTGTATCTGTATATTTTTATTTTATGTCTCTTCAAAATTACTTGATAAGTTTTTTAAAAATCTCTCTCTCTCTCTCTCACCACACTCAAACAAAATCTCAAGATTATATCTAAGTTTTTATCAACTATACTATATCTAATAAAGATATTTAAAATTTGTATACTTAATTTCCTGTACATACATACATACATACATACATACATACATACATACATACATACATACATACATACATACATACATACATACATACATACATACATACATACATACATACATACATACATACATACATACATACATACATACATACATACATACATACATACATACATACATACATACATACATACATACATACATACATACATACATACATACATACATACATACATACATACATACATACATACATACATACATACATACATACATACATACATACATACATACATACATACATACATACATACATACATACATACATACATACATACATACATACATACATACATACATACATACATACATACATACATACATACATACATACATACATACATACATACATACATACATACATACATACATACATACATACATACATACATACATACATACATACATACATACATACATACATACATACATATATGCATGCATGCATGTAAAGTATAGAAGTTTATCACAAATTATGTGCAAACAAACGAACAAGCATAAAAACACACTTGAAAACAATGCAAACATACCTACCATTATATTTAAGCACATTATTTCCACAAATTATAAACATGTGTTTGTGTGTGTTTGTTTGTGTTTGTTTGTGTGTTCTTACTTTTGTTTGTATGGTTGTTTGTTATTGTATTTATTAACAATAACATAAATGAATATAATAATAATAGTAATAATAGTAATAATAGTAATAATAATAATAGTAGTAGTAGTATTAAAATTGATAGAAAAGATTATTATAAACCACGTTTGATCTTTGCAATCTTTATGCCTGCCTAGTCCTCTATCAGTCTATCTTGAATGATTTACTGGTCCTACTGATACTTCCCAAATCTCTCTCTCTCTCTCTCTCTCTCTCTCTCTCTCTCTCTCTCTTTCTCTCTCTCTCTCTCTGTCTCTCTTTCTCTCTGTCTCTCTCTCTCTCTCTAATGATTAAGTGGGTGGTAGTAGTTTATATATGTATGTTGAAACAAAAATTTATTGTAAGTTTTCATCTATATTTGTTAGTTATATTTTTCTCTTCAATGTTTATATGTATGTGTGTGTGTTTGTATGTGTATGTATGTTTGTATGTGTGTTTGTATGTGTATGTGTGTGTGTGTGTGTGTGTGTGTGTGTGTGTCGTTGTTGTTCACGTTGCACAGGGTTTGTAGTCATCCTCATCTGTTCCTAATTAAATAATTGTCCTACCATTAAATGTCTAATCTTCGTGATTATGTATGTATATATGTTTATGTGTGTGTGTGTGTGTGTGTGTGTGTGTGTGTGTGTGTGTGTGTGTGTATGTTTGTACTTGTGCGTGCCTGCTGCCATCCATCCATCCATCCATCCATCCATCCATCCATCCGTCCATCCGTCCATCCATCCNTCAATTAAAATGCGTGGTAAGTAGTGCAAAGGACAATTAACTTCTTTCCATTGAATGAACCAAATGTCACACACACGTACAGACACGTACACACACACACACACACACACTACACACACACACAAACAAACACACACACACCACACACACACAAACAAACACACAGACAGATATCCACACACAACCTCGCGCTCAAAAATATCTACACACATGCACACACACAAAATGTCACACAAACACAATTTCAATATTTAGGTTTGGTTGTATATTCATTTATTTGTTTATTCATTCATTCATTCATACATTCATTCCTTCATTTTAACATTTGTTTCATATTAGTCAAAAAATTACCAAGTGCGTCTTAAACTACTTTTATGTGATGATTTGTTGTTCTGTTCTGCTCTGCTGTCTTGTGTTCGGCTGGGTTTTGCTACAAATGAATGTGAGGGTTCGGTTAAAAGAATGATTGAATGAATGGATGCGTGAGTGAACGAGTGAATGAGTGACTGAATGAATAAACGAACAAACGAACGAATGTAGAAACGAATAAACAATCATAAACAATCTGTCATGTTTGTGTGTGTATGTGTGTGTGTGTGTGTGTGTATGTGTGTGTGTGTGTGTGTGTGTGTGTGTGTGTGTGTGTGTGTGTGTGTGTGTGTGTGTGTGTGTAGGAAGATAGGATGAAGGTGATGATGGTGGTGCTGCAGATGATGTGATGGTGGCGGTGATGCCGTTTACTACTATTTGTATATTATTATTATCATCATCATTATTATCGTAATATTATTATTATTATGGCTGGAGTAAAATCAAATCAAACATGCAATGGCTCACTCACCCACCCACTCACTCACCCACCCACTCACTCACCCACTCACTCACTCACTCACTCACTCACTCACTCACCCACCCACTCACTCACCCACTCACTCACCCACTCACCCACTCACTCACCCACTCACTCGCTCACTCACTCACCCACTCACTCGCTCACTCACTCACTCACTCACTCACTCACTCACTCACCCACTCACTCACTCATTCAGATGACTGTCTCCACAGCGAGTTTCGCTGCAAACACAGCGGCGTGTGTTTGAAGAACGTTCCTCGGATAACCTGTGATGGCTTGATTGATTGTCCGCCGGGCGAGGATGAAACCGATTGCGATGGTGATGATGGTGATCACGATGATCATGATCATGAAAGATGATCACGATGATCATCATCATGATCACGATGATCATCATCATGATCACGATGATCATCATGATGGTTTATTCTCTGATCTAGCGGTTAACTTTGATATGTACGGTGGCGACGAAGATTATGACAGGGGGTACTCGGGTGTGGAGCGTTCGTGCCTGCTGTGGGGGGGCCATTGGTGTGCCGTCTCTCAAACGTGCATCCCAGCGTCAAAGAAGTGTGATGGCGTTTTCCATTGTTCGGATTACTCTGATGAGTTGGAATGCAGCCCTAGTAAGATTTTCTCCTTCTCCCTCTTCTCTTGTTTTTCTTCTTCTTCTTCTTCTTCTTCTTCTTCTTCTTCTTCTTCTTCTTCTTCTCTTCTCCTTCTCCTGTTGTTTAGTTGCTGACTGATTCAATGATTGAACAACAAACACCACAGGCGCCCACCTGTCGTCCGTAGAAGATTACGGCGACGACGACTACGACGAACTTTTTCCTGCAGAGTATGCGGGGAGCATGTACACGAAATGTAGAGAGGGCCACAAAATCATCCTGAAACTTGAAGTCTGTGATGGTGAAAAGGACTGCTCCGATGGCTCCGATGAGGAAGATTGTAAGTCTTTCTGGCTGACGTTCTTCACGATGCTGATGATGGTGGTGGATGTAGCTGCTGCTGCTGTGACAATAACAATACGCTAAATAATATACTGTCATGGAATAAAGCGAATAATCTGTCACCAGGTGATGAGAAAAAGAAGAAAAAGTTATGTGGCCCTGACGAGTTCAGCTGCCCGGACATGTGCATTCCCGAGACGTTCGTCTGCGACGACTATCATGACTGCTTCGATGGATCTGATGAGAAGAATTGCTGTTAGTTTGTTGTGATGATGTGATCGTGACGTCATCATGGTGGGGTGATGCTGTGATGATGTCTTAATGTTGTAATGGTTGTGCTTTGAAGCGAAACAGAGTTCACGACTGATCGATCAGGCAACTCAAAATATCGTTTCATCATTATATTTATAAACTGTTATTTATAATGTTATTATAATTATGTTAATTATCATAATAATAAATAAAAGAATAAATAAATTACGATTATAATTATCATTCTAGCGTTGAAGAAGGAAATATGCAAGACGCCATTCAAGATATGTAACGGTACCTGCCAACTAGTGCATGAACTCTGCGAGGACGCACTTGATGCCACGTGTGCCACCGAGTCACATCCTCTCTGCAGTTCGTCTCTCAATTCTTCATCACCATTATGCTTCCATCCTCCTAACCTACTCACTACATTCATTAACATCATTGTCGTCATCACGGTCGTCCCATCGTCTCTGCCATCCTCCTCATCATTTCGTTCTTCTAATTATCCTATTTGTCATTCCACATTATTATCACCACCAACACCACCATCATCGTCGTCGTCTTCACCATCGTGACGATCAGATGTGTGTCACTGGGGCCGATGTAGTCAGCTTTGCAGGAACGTGGATTTGAAGCCGGTCTGTTCGTGTCGCGATGGTTACGAACTCGAACGTGATAACTTCACCTGCACGTCTAAATATTTTTGTAATTATCTTTCTATTATTTCTTCTTTTGTAATAATGTATATAATAATTTAATAATAATTATAATTTAATAATTTGCTTAATTTTGGTTTCACTAAAAGACCCATCATCTTCAATTGAGGGATGATCACCATGTTACGTTTCAATGCAAAATTAAAACTCAGTTTTTTCAATGAAAATTTTCTTTTAAACCAATCTCACTACAAACAAATTCCACTAATCGATCCATAATTCACTGAGTCGTAATTCACTAATTCATAATTCACTGATTCGTAATTCACTAATTCACAATTCACTAACTCGTAATTCGCTAACTCTCCTGCAAGACACCGGGAAACCGTACTTACTTTTTGCCGGTCGACACGACATCAAGAAGATAGACATATACTTGCCAGCTCCGTCGAAAACAGCAGCAGCAGCAGCAAAAGACAGCAGCAGCAGCAACAACACAACAGCAGCCATGCGGAGATACTCGGTGCCGTTGGCTACGTCTCTGGAGAACGTCGTAGCCCTGGACTACTTCACCAACCACACCTCCCGCTC